CTCGGGCTCGACCACCTACTCGCTCCCCCAGCCAGGCTCGCCGCTTCCTCTGGGCGGCAAGAATAATGCCTTCACTGTCCAGATGATCCCCAATATCTACTCCAAGGGCCTTTCGGGCCTGACACTGCAGCAGAACATGCAGCTGTGCGCGGGGCAGAATTACTCGGTCCTGATGGACTATCGCTTCAAGGAGGTCGACCCGGATAACAACTGCAGGTTGACCATCACGTATCCTTTCTATGGCGGGGTCACGGGCAGCGTCGAGACCGGGAGCAGTGTCGTCCAGCCTGGGCAATGGTATACCACGGCGAGCTTTTTCCCCGGCTTACCCGAGACGGAGGTGGGGAGTCGCTTGTTTGGGGTTAACTTCTTCTGTCGCTATGGGGTCCGGAACGAGATCAGCGTGGATAATGTCAGGATTGAGAGGTTTGATGGGAATGTTTCCTGAGACTATTTCCCTTTTTTCCGTGTCAATGATATAAGAGGGGGGGAATAGCTGGATATGGGGAACTACGGGCTCACCCCATTGCTGAGGAATCCCTGAATGGTCATGATGTGGCTGGCTATCTAACCCGTCCACTCAATCTGCTGAGGTAGTGCAAATGTCATTCTAGGATATAATTGAATACTGTGTTTTTCAGATGTGTTCCAGGGTATCCATCAAATCAAACAAAGCAAATCGCGGATTTTGATTAAATAATCAAAGAAAACCAGGGCCTCAATTTGCTTTATTTGACTGATTTGTAAATCGAGTCAAATCTCAGTAGGCAATATATTTCTGGGGATTTACTTGAATTCTCGTCCAGATCGAGTGTCCGCCAAGCCTATTATTATTCTATTGGAGTTATTCATGAATTATATTTCAAAACAAGAGACTTTTCTGTCAGGACTTCATTTTGACTACTAGTGATTCGTCCGAGGCCGATTTGATCTGCCAAGCATTTGATTTGGTTTGTTTGACTAGTTAGTAGTTTGATTTGATGGACACACTGCTGCTGCTTGATGTCCTGCCACTCTAGCCACGCTGGCAGGGCCTCGCATTCTCAAATACTAATATATTGATGGGCTTTGGCGCGTAGTCTCCCCTACTACTTAGTACTAACAAGTACGTTGAAACAAACTTTGCTGATAGTGGATTCCTTTAACTACCCACCCTACTACACCATCGCTCCCACTGTTGTAGGCACTGCTCAAAGAACCTGGAGTTTGTCGGGCTGTCTGCTCGTGCAAGATGAATAAGAAGTCATGCTTTCGATTCCCATGATTTTGGTCTTCAGGCATCGGTCCCACAGTCACAGTAACAATGCCAGGAGCGTCAGAGCTCTACGTTTATCGGAAGATCCAGCGACTCGCTTTCGGGGGGATTCCAATGATCAAGCGGCCATTGCTGGCTCGGAATGCCAAGCCTTGGGTAGCTCGTGATTGGCGTCTTGTCTTCAGAGCTGCCGTAGGTCAGATCAAGGACGTTGCCCGGGTACATAACGCTTTCAAATCTGTTGATAGGAGTCAGACCTTGTTCTATGATGGCACTAAAGCTGTGTAGAAACAGGCGAGAAGCATTACGTAGCCGTCTGCTAGAAGGGTTATATTCCATTGAATGCTGAGATTAGTGAATTTATATGCTTTGCCCACAATGGGTTTTACGGCGGCAGACCGACTTAGTCACCACGCATGCAAGAAGGAAAAAGAAAAAGGCTGATAAGCGTTTCTTTTGCGATCTTACGTAGGGAATATACCTCCAGTGGCGCCAATAGCGGTGGGCAATGCGTGGTTCACAATGGCATAATCACATGCGAGCTATAAGCCAGATTTGATGCTCATTATTGAGACCAAGAGTCCTGATAACCAGGCTAGGGGTTCCACCATCTCAGATGCCAAAAGAGCTGAACTGCAGAGCATCAAAGACGTACCGGCCATAGATAGGAGTTCCAACTTCAGTTCCCCCATTTAAATAGGTCAACAGCAGTCCCACCCCAACGATTCACGATCTGGTACAATCCCGGTCCATGCCAGCCTGTCCCGCCTTGGAACTCAAAGGGAGCGGCATTGGTGCTCAGGATCGGAACAGTCGCTGCTAGTAGAGTCTTGAAAAGGTGCATGATAACTGAGCATTTGCTTGAAACTAGAGGAATTGAGATGAGTCAGATAATCAAATTCGGAAGTGTATCCTTTGGAGGAGCATGCTAGTACGTAAATCCGTCGTTGTATGTCTTGCAGCGCCCAGTCGATGCTGATATGATGTTAGAGCTGCTCCTCATTTCTTAGGTGACTGGCAAGAAGATGACATGGCTTCAAGTCCTAGACCCAGAGATATGATACTAATGCATTCTATGCATTACCTGGTCGCACAGAGGAGTTGGTTCTTACCTGGGAAAAGCAAAGAAGTGAGACATGATTGGGTTAAGAAGGTCGGCCCACCATCTGAACCCACTATGACACAACATAAATGCAATATTCAAAGTGGGGTGGATGAAGCTGGTGCCAATGGTCGCCGACATTCTAGACCGCGACTCAAACATGCAGTCCAGGGAATTGAGGTGCGTGGGGAAATGCAGGACGTGCGCAATGAGTGGTGACATTGGGAGTTAGATTTACATTCCAAGAAAATTGGTAGAAATATTAGCTCCGTGACGCAGAGGCCAAACACATGATCATGAAGATGACCTGACCATGGCAAGGTAGGTATATAGAGTTGACCAGTGACGAAAAGTATCAATGGATTCGAAAATCAGTCATATTTCTTTCAAACTGCCTGATTGAACTCCATGGCCATGGGGGATTTAGCTCTCAAATTGACACTCGGGCGCTTATGTCAAGAGCATGCAGGGAGATTAACACGAAAGGAACGGAAGCACAATGGGCTTTACCCTGAAGGTTCCGTTATGTGGGAGCTGAACGGGAGGAACACTTTGTTCGGGAGTCGGAAGCTTGCTGCTGAAAACCAATGAGACCATGCCGACCTCACAGGCCCAGATCAGTGTAATTGATATCTACCAGAAGAAATAATCTTTGGAGCAAACCCGATATGATAATTGCAGCCGACAACTGTCCCACTCTGAGGCTCAGATCTGGGTCTGTATTGCACAGCTTCGACTGATCCGCTTGAGACCTGTCCTGGTATGCTCTGGATTTGTTTTCCCAACATGATTGTGTGACTGATACAGCTGTGAGCAACTCTCAGCACGCTCAGTAATCACATCGCTGCCGCGCAGTCGGGCAGAATTGGTATCACAACATCGGTTCCGTACACACCACTTCATCATGAATGCGTGCATAGTGTCCTGCATCCCGACCCAACCACACATGAACAGATCCGGCTTCTAATAGATCGACCTCATCGATTGAATCCGAATCTCCGCTCGGGGTCTTCTTCCTGCATTGATGGAAACGTGTCACGTGAGGGACTTGGCGCCAGCGTCCATGTATCTCAGCCTCCCGCCTCTCTTCAAGAACCTAACAACATCATCTCAACTCAATCAATCTGGTCGCACCACAACCAAATAACATCGCCCCGAGACATGACTCCTGAGTGCCCTGCTGTTGTCTGAATTGGTTGTGATATTGCCGAAGAAAAGCTGCAAACTTTTGCACTTTGTCAAACGTACCATGCGCCTGATTAGCCGTACGCGAGATTGCTACTGGCCCGTGCGCTCCAGTCAGCACCTCCTTTTTCATACACCTTGCTTCTGCGCCCTGCGCAGGTTTTTTAGAGAGAACAGAGCCATTTCTTCTACCTGCTTGACACCTTTTGACGAGAAGGACCTTGACCTGGCTCGCTCATGCATCTCACGGGAGAAGAGGGTGCGAAATATGGTGGATATCGACCACCCTGCCTGTCGGAATGGTGCGAATGCTAGGAAATCGTCACGCTTGCAACTTTCGAGCTAAGTGCTCTCCTGCGAGCTTTATTTCGGTCCATCTTCTGCATATAGACCGACCAGCTGTGTCGGTAGGTTCGTTGCGTACCGTACCTCCGCTACCACATACGTCTTTGGGACTAGATTTTGATCAGTTCGTCCCAGCTCTGATACCAAGTCTTAACATCTCGGTATTGTAAATCATCCAACCCAAATGCTCTACGTCAATTACCTGAGCATCATCTAGGGCCGTCTTCATGATAGAATTGGCTTAGCATTTGGGATGCCGCAGTAAGGGGCGAGAGACTAAGACGGAGAGTGACTTAACGTACAGCCAACATCTAGACACACAGCTGGTTACTCCAGCTGCGATATCGCAATCTGATACTTTACCCCTGCATTCCGCTCCTGGAGGACAGCAGCCGATGTCGCCCCGGCCAGTATCGGTGATGATCACGCAAGTCGAGCCAGGAGCAACTGGTTGTTCCAGCCTGGCACTGAAAGGCTGGAGTCTACATCAGAAGATTAGAGCGGTCGTTCTTATCGTCTTTGACCATGTGATGTTGCGGAACTGGACATGACGCCTCACGTACATTTGGAGAGGCGCTGACAGGTGGGCATTTGGAGATAGATGTCACAGGTGACAGTCAGCATGAGAAGGTACTGGAGCGTGGAGGAAGACAACTATGGACACAGAGACCGCGCCGCCGCCTGCCGAAGCGACAAGGATCTGCTCGTCGCTTCGAGCAATGGTCGCCAAGGCAGATAGATAGAAACAAAGACCGACGAAAGTAGGTAATACCAAGAACATGACTGGAAAGGGCCAGCGATCAGAATGCAGCTGAATGCAGCATACTTCGACTTGGCAGCTCCTCCGCCTCACCTTGGAAGGCGTTTTCGCCCAGACAGTTGTCAAGCGAGCTTACTCACAGAGGTCAACCCGCGGCAGGACCGGAGGACCGTCATTAGTCGCAGAGTACACCTCGTATCCTCCCCAGTTAAGTTACTAGTCAGCAATCTCTCCGCATTTTTAGCTGAAGAATGCTGAGCGCCCAATTGGTCGCAGATATCCGTGTCCAGATGTCCAGGTCCATAAAGGATTGCCGGCTGACTAAGGAGCCAACCTGCAGCACCAGGGGGTGCAGGAATTCATTTCACCAC